AATTTAAAATTAAAATTAAATATAATCAATAATACTTAAGTTATATCTTATTATCTTATGGGCATAAATTAAATAATTTTTTTAATAATAGATGAGAATTTTTTAATTAAATAATTAATATTTTATTATTTAATATAATTAAAACTATAAAACATAGTAGTCAATATAAAATCACAAGATTGTTCATCAACATAATCATATTCATAGTTTGATTCATACCCCAATGTTGGTTTGATTTTCGACCATCTACTGAAAGTCAAAAAATACTTTCACCATCGCTTTCGCTAGCTAAGTGGCTATCCTGTTCGTCGACTCACATGTGACCCTTCAATTAGTGGGGTAGTTAGTACTGCGAGGTGGTCCCTGCTGCATCCAATCAATCACTGGATCACTGGCCGCCTCCTAACTCTCCTTCGTTTTGCACCGTCCGACTTCACATGCAATGAAGTAGAGAAGCATGTCATCTTGCCTGAACAACAAAATCATTATCATTTCAAAGTAAAACAACTTAAACTCACATCACATTGTGTAGTACATTCATATATCTTGCAAGGCAAGTTGTCCTGTTATGCCCGGTTGTTTACGACGTCTACAACTCTTACTTTTTCGACATCCAGCATTATTTAGTTCATCTTAATACAAACAAATAAAATCCACAAGTTATTACAAACAAATAAAGTGTTGAGAAAGGAATTTGTATTTAGTTCATCATTGTTTGACCACCATTGTCTTGGTCTGCTAATGTAGGGTTAACACCCACACAATTTTCTACGGCTGTTAGACCACCACAACCAAGACCTGCCTCACAATTTTCTGCTTCTACATTTTCATGCTCATACACACCTTCTAACATCAGCATTGTAGCAAGATCATTAACCACATGGTGTAAATCTTAGCCCAACCCCTCTATGTTAGATAATATCTAACACCAATAACTCCTTCTTTACCTCTTATCTCATTTAAACCCCTTAACAAGTCTAAAAAAGGGTTTTTTGAAGAATAAAACCTTATAAGAAAGATATCCTATGTTATGTACCATTTGTTGAAAACCATCCACGGTAACGTCATATAAGCAAACATCTACTTCTAGCACCTCCCCTCCAACGTACTTAAGTCCACCTGATTCATGAATCTCAAAATGACCATTGTGATAAAACTTGATTGTATCCATAACTGTTAAATTGAACAAAAATCCAACAGCAAATAACACCTACTTCCCATTATACAATTTATATGAATTTAATTTCATAAACTATAAGATATATAACGTAACTATAAAACCCTAAACTATAAACCAAATATAATAAACCCATAAACTAGTTATAGTAAATCCTAAACAATACCCTTTAAATATGTTTTAATAAAGTTTAATCACACTTTAATCAACTCTTGTGGGCTTCCTAATATGCCAATTCGAAGGGATAAAGTCAAAATTTCAGCATTACGTGATTTGATTTCTCAATAATTTCCTTTAGAATTGAAGAAAGAGATGTGGTCCTTTGAATGTTAATTCCTCCAAATCTTAAAAATCTGTACTTCAGGAACATTTTGGTTGTTGAAAGTTGTTAAGATCATCCGAAAGTGATGCCTTCAAAACAAGAATGGACTGAAGAAAAGAACATACTGACAAACAACATGTTCTTTTAGTCCTCGACATGCCCTTGAGTTTGGGGGAAATGTTATTCCATTTTTTTGAGGGTATATATAATATGGCTAGCTTTAGTTAATTTAATTTAATTTTTTAAATATTAATTTTAAATAAAGTATAGCAAAAATATATGAATGATTAAAAGTACATTAAATATCCCTTTTAATTATGAAGGAATAACAAAATACTACTTTGT